CAGGTAGTGGAGCTAAAGGTGTCTATGCATTGCTACGGATGTGCAAAGAAAGTCGAGAAGCATATTTCTAAATTAGACGGTAACGCCAAATCTTCTTTATTTCTTTAGGCATTTCATTTAGGGAAATGAAATTACAAGACATGAATTTAATAATTGCGTCTAGTTTGTTTTTCTTTTCCTTGTTGCCAATATCTTATAATTATTTAGTTTAATTAACCAAAATGAATTCATACATACATGATACGTTCATCGAACTCTAAAAATGTAAGAAAAACAGGATTGTGAAAACCAAACCGAAATATGTTCTTCTTTTTTTTGCTAAACCGAAACCGAAAATATGTTCGGTTCCATATGTTCTGTATCGAAATAATAGGATATGAATCAAAACCAAGAAAGAAAGTCAAATCTTTTAGCAACCGAAAAACCAAGAAATTCAATTGAAAACTCAAGAACAAACTAAAAAACCTAGAATAGAACACAAGTTCAAACTATTTGATTCTTATCGTTTTTAAACAGAAAAAGTTTGTAATACTATTTTTTTTTTTTGAAAAAAGGGCTTACTGTTTTGTATTACTATTGAGATACTGAATATGGGTGTCTTACATAAACAGGAGTGACATGGTACAAAGTGGAGCTTGAAAGCAAGAAGGTAGTGGTGAAGGGGAACATAATGGCAGTAGATGTGTTAGAAAGTATTTGTAAGGTCAAGAATGCTCAGCTTTGGTCTTCTTCCTGAATTTTTTTCTTTCCACATGGCTGACCCTTTCGTGTCAATCTCCATCTCTATCTCCGTCTTCATGTTATATTATTACCATTATCTAATTATGCGTATATGTGCACATGCATGCATCTATCCTTCGTTTTTTGGATCCATCCTACTTGTAACATCTTGAATCTATCTCATTAATCACATATATAAATTAATGACGATGATTTTGTTTTTTACAATCAAAATGATAGAGAATCATATCCCTAACGCTCTAGCATACCTCGTTGAATATGATGACTATTTATTACTCATTCAATTTCATACCAATTTTCATGTTTTATATGGTTGTAACCATTTGGATTTGGATTTACCGATTAATATGATTTGATATCAAGGTTCACAAGTTTCTAACTCAAACTCAATTCAAAGTGTGTTAATTAGATATTTTTATATATTATTTTAAGTCACATTTTAGTTTTGAGGTGAGATTCCTAACTAATCTTGGGGATATCAAGGTTCACAAGTTTCTAACTCAAACTCCATTCAAAGTGTGTTAATTAGATATTTTTATATATTATTTTAAGTCACATTTTAGTTTTGAGGTGAGATTCCTAACTAATCTTGTGGGTGTTTTATATATAGTTCATTAAATGATACGTTAATACGTTAGGAAGTGCTTGTGGTCACGCAGTTTTACTATCTTGGTCGAAATTAATAATCAGTCCTCACTACATTAGTATATATATAGGCACATGTTCGAAAAATTAGTAATTAGTTTTAAGAGTCGAGAAGATTAGTTTAAGGTTTATATTTGACCACCAACCTACATTTTAAATTATCTTGTATAATATTGGACTCGAAATAGGGGTGGAACGGATCCGGATATCCTGGAATTTCAAGGTATCCGGATCCGGAATCGTCGGATCCGTTAAAAAAACTATCCGGATCCGGAATTGGGACCTCCGGATATCCGGACTCTGGATATCCGGCAAAAAAAACGGATATCCGCAGATATCCGGATCCGAAATTAATATTAAAAATAATTAATAAATAAATAAAAGTATATTTTTAAAAATTATTAATTAATATTTTAAATGATATTTTTCATTATTAATATAATTTATTATAAAAAAAACTAAAATCAATTTTTATATATATTTATTTATATAAAATTAGCTTAATAGATATATAATATATATGTTTTTAATATATTTAATGCGTCTAGATCCGGATATCCGGACCTTAAAATTTTGTTATCCGGATCCGGATCCTAGATTTTACTATCTTTATCCGGATCCGAACTCCCCGAATATCCTAATTTTTGGAGCGATTCCGAACGGATAACGGATCGGTTCTCGGATCCCGGATAATAATTCCACCCCCAACTCGAAGTATTCACACAATCGTTATATAGTTACTTATTAGTCGTGCGGAAGTGTGGACCACAGGAAGCCCCCTCCTATGCCATAGCTAATCCGTAGCCTCGTTTACCGAATCTAGCTTTGAAATGGATCAGCTCAAATTATGGACTCTATGTCAGATTTAATATTGACTTTTTTAGGAAAACATATATAAATCTTTTGAGTACAAAGTTATGAAATCAATTGTTTGCACTTCCAATTCCGTCTCACGTTCTGATAAACCTTTGAGTTTTGTGACCGTGTTCACATTTACAATCGGTACAATACAGATAAATAACCAGTCATTGAAATCAATACTTGTATGTTGGTTTGGTTTTGGTCACATCGAAAAAAATGGTTGGTTTAGCGTTGTTGTCTCTGTAAGACTATTTCCAACCAAAAACTCTATTTTTTACTCTAAAATAGTGTTGTGTTTAACTCTAACCCTACTCTATTTTGAAGTAAAAAATGGAGTGAAAAACAATAAAATAGAGTAATATATATGATTACTTCATATTTGGAGTAAACCTACCTTTTGCTCTATTCTGGAAATAGAGTTTGAGTTGGAGTGGGTTAGAGCAAATTTGATTCCAAGTTATTTTTTGGAGTGAGAAATGGAGTGGAATTGGAAATGACCAAATAACATAATTTTTTTTTTCAAAAACAATTTGGGGTTCAACATGAATATGCCATTTCTTTTTTAAAAACATTTTACATGAACCACCAAAAATACATAATTATAAATTACTAGATTAAGGACCCGTATATATGCGGGGTTGCAATTTAATTCTTTATATACCTATGAAAAAATGTATAAAAAATAGATCATCTGTTAAAGTAAATAAAATAAAAGTAAAAACGTTGCTGCAAAACAACTGATTGAGAAACATAA